ACTATATGCCAAGAAATTTGAAAATCTGGAGGAAATGGATAAATTTCTGGACACATACAAACTACCAGAACTGAGCCAAGAAGATGTAGAAAATCTGAACAGACCAATAACAATAAAAGAGATTGAAGCCGTTATCAGAAGGCTCACTACAAAGAAAAGCCCAGGGCCAGAGAGGTTCACTGCAGAGTTCTACCACACCTTCAAAGAGGAATTGATACCAATTCTCTACAAACTATTCCAAAAGACTGAAACAGAGGCCATTCTCCCAAACTCATTCTATGAGGCAAACATCACCCTGATGCCAAAACAGACAGACATACATCAAAAATAGACAACTACAGGCCAATACCCTTGATGAATATAGATGCTAAAATCCTCAATAAAATACTAGCTGACAGAATATAGCAACACATACACAAAATAATCCACCATAATTGAGTGGGATTCATCCCAGGGATGCGAGGTTGGTTCAACATATGCAAATCAATAAATATGATACACCAAATCATTAAAAGCAAAGACAAAAACCATATCATCATCTCTATAGATGCTGAAAAAGCATTTGACAAAATTCAACCTTTGTTCATGATAAAGCCTCTCTACAAGTTAGCTATAGATAGAAAGTATCTGGACACAATTAAAGCCATATTTGATAAGCCCACTCCCAATATCACCCTGAAAAGCTTTCAACTTTTCCCTTAAAAACAGGAACTAGACAAGGACGCCTACTCTCACCACTTCTATTCAACATAGTGTTGGAAGTACTAGCCATAGCAATCGGTGAAGAGAAGGAAATAAATGGCATCCAGAATGGAAAAGATGAAGTCAAACTATCTCTGTTTGCAGACAATATGATCCTTTATACTGAATAGCCTAAAGTCTCTACAAAAAACTCAGACTTGATAAATGATTTCAGCAAAGTTGCAGGATACAAAATCAACACACAAAAATCAGTAGCACTTCTATACTCCAACAGTGAACATGAAGAAAAACAAATCCAGAAAACTAGCCCATTTACAATAGACATCAAGAAAATAAAATACTTAGAATTAAAGTTAACCAAGGATGTGAAAAATCTCTATGATGAGAACTACAAACCACTGTTGACAGAAATTAAAGAAGACACAAGAAGATGGAAAGATATCCTATGCTCTTGGATCAGAAGAATTAACATTGTGAAAATGTCCACATTACCCCAAATAATCTACAGATTCAATGCAATCCCCATTCCAATGACATTTTTCTCTGAAATGGAAAAAACTATACTAACATTTATGCGGAATAACAAAAGGCCACTCATAGCCAAAGCAATCCTGAGCAAAAAAAAAAAAATGAAGCTGGAGGCATAACATGACTTGACTTTAAACTATATTACAAAGCTATAATAAGCAAAACAACATGGTACTGGCATAAAAACAGACACACGGATCAATGGAATAGAATACAGAACCCAGAAATCAACCCATACACCTACAGCCACATGATCTTTGACAAAAGCACCAAGTCTACACACTGGGGAAGAGACTGCCTCTTCAGCAAATGGTGCTGGGAAAACTAGATATTCATATGTAGGAGAATGAAACTAGACCTGTACCTCTCACTGTATACCAAAATCAACTCAAAATGGATTAAAGAATTAGATATACATACTGGAGCAATAAAAATCCTTAAAGAAAATATAGGGGAAACACTCCAGGAAGTAGGACTGGGCATAGACTTCATGAATACGACCCCAAAAGCATGGACAACCAAAGGAAAAATAAACAAATGGAATTATATCAAGCTAAAAAGCTTCTGCACAGCAAAAGAAACCATCAACACATTGAAATGAGAACAAACAGAGTGGGAGAAAATATTTGCAAAATATATATCTGACAGAGGATTAATATCCAGAATATACGAGGAACTCAAACAACTTTACAGCAAAACACCAAATAACCCAATTAAAAAGTGGGCAAAGGCGCTGAACAGGCATTTCTGAAAGGAATATATAGAAATGGACAACAGACAGATGAAAAAATGCTCATAATCACTCAGCATCCAGGGAATGCAAATCAAAACCACTTTGAGATACCATCTCACCCCAGTCAGGATGGCTAATATCCAAAAGACTGAGAATGATAAGTGCTGGAGAGGTTGCGGAGAAAAAAGAACCCTCATACACTGTTGGTGGGAAGAGGAAAGGATAAAGGCTCACAAAAATCAACTACCATGTATATTGATAAGTTAGAATAAAATAAAATAAAATAAAATAAACTGAACCCTTGGGAATGTCAGCACAAAAATCAAGAACAATTAAAATGTTCAACTTATCAAAAAGTTTTAGAGGCCAACGATACTGTAAGTAGTCAGTATTCTCAGGGAAAGTTCCACAAACTTTTTGATAACCTTTCCCTAGAGCATCATTTAGGAAGCAGATTTCATAAGACACGTGAGTTCCTTTTTAAAGTATTGGGGGCAGGATGAATACCTATTTTGCAGAATAATTGTTTTATATAAAAATAGTGTTAATCCTTGGAATTTCTAAACTAAGTGAATTTCGTCTCGGTAAAAAGCTTATCATTCTTATAGAGTTAAGCCCTCCTGTTGTATAGCCAGAAACTGTAGCCCTTGTCCTGTTATCTGTATTAACTAAAACCAGTAAGTGTTAACTCACTGTAATATGTGTGTGTGTGCATGTTTTCTTCAGCTTCTGAGGTTAGAAGGATCCATTTACTTACATTTACTTACTTACATGGGAAGTACTCTAATTACAATAGCAAAAGTTTGTCATGATGCCTGAATAAAACTGTTCTCTTCAATCTTTTGTCTGTAATAGGCTAAGGTTGCTAACAGTATTTATAGGGTCATTATTTTCAACTGTTTCTTGACACCTAACAATATTATTTTAAGCTCCAGCCAAGTGGATTTCCAATAATTATACAATGTCTCTCAGTAATGATCTGTTGCTTAAGATACACATTCTACTTTACCTTTCAACACATACTTGATAACCTCTCATTTTCTAACTGTAATTGAGGGAAATTCAGTCTTGGCTAATTAGGGGCTCTTAGAACCTCCTCATATATGTCATTCTTGATGACATATCAATAGAATTAGGGTCTATTTTTATTTTTAATTAAAGTAATAAAAATGTGCAACTTAAAATATTAGAATGTTTAAGAACATTACAACTATTTTACAAATAATAAATCCAATATTTTACTGGGGATATGCAAAATGACAAAACGTTCACAACCAAAACAAAATTTTGGCTTGTTAAGGGCCCCTTTTAGAAGCAAACCCACAGCCATGTCCAATGCTTAGGTACAGAAAGAAAAGTATACATAACCAGGACAATTAAACTAGTGCATCATTTTAATGTTGACCTCTTTCAATCTACTTTAGTGAGCTCTATTTGTTATTACTGTCACACAAAAAGTCTTTGAAAGAAGTTCAGTGAATAGAGAAGAGTTGAAGTGGGAAATATCTTTGAGGACAAAAAAATTCTATCTTTGTCATAAACTTCAAGAATGGTTAAGCTTTGCAGGAAATAGGTCACCAAGACAAAAAATTGAATTTGTTCACACACACACACACACACACACACACACACACACACACACACACACACACACCCCAAATCTATTTATGATGATCTATTTCCAACAGCTCTACCTTTGATTCCCTCATAGAATATGTGCTTAAGCTATACTAAGAAGAAACATAAAAAGAGTAACATTAACTCAACCTTCCTTTTCTGCTCAACATTTTTGAAATTAACCACATAAGCAGAAAAAGTAAAAGAAAAAGTGGAAATGAAACATATGCTTATAAATTCAGAGCAATACCAAATGGAATCAGAAGTTGCTAATGTGGTTTGAGTATTTTGTAAAAGAGCCAGCTGAATGGATGATAATTTTTCTACCCCTGCAGGGCATCAAAGCTTTTAGGAAATCATTTTTTTCACACATATTAACACTTAGCTTATTAAAACAGATGATACTTTTATTGTAAAATGGCCTGGGTATAGGCTAGAAACATAAACTATGAAAGATAAGATTCATTTTGACCACCCAGTCTGACAAACACTGAACACTGACACAACAGACCATGGCAGAGAGGATGACGTAGCAGGACCTTCTGTAACTGCCACAGCTGAAGTGTCACCATGAAGCCTGTGAATTGCTGTTATGAAAACATTTGCAGTAACTTGCATAATTAAATGCAACTGCCAGAAAAGCATTTCTAAAATGCAGAAAAAAAGTACATAAATAAATACACTTCAAGGCAACTACTGCATTTCAGACTATTGCTATGAATTATTCAAAGTTATGTCACAAGCAAAGTAGTATTTCCTTTGAACTCACTGTTAAATAATTACAAATGAATGACAACATCATTATTTAAATTGACTGCTCTCTTATTCTCCTTTACAGATACTGAATAAGTGAAACATGATGATCATGATATCTAAAACCACAATCCCCCATATCTAGGGGTTGTCATGACTAAATGAAGACTTTGGTACTGATAAAACTGTAATATTATATATTGCAGCACACATTAGTACTTAAGTCAAGATAAAAAATGTTCAATAACAGTAGTGTGACAGATATTTGGCTTTACTCCAGCTTATTTATTTGTTTGACTGAAGAATATGACACTGACTTAAAAAAAACTTTTCCAGTAGGGACAAAATCCATTACATGATTCTGTTTATGGAAGGCTGCAGAGGTAAGTAAAATGATGCTGTACACAATGGTAAAATGATTATTATCTTGCCTGTTAAAACTTTTTGCGACTCTCATTTCAACAGTGACAGTTTTCATGTAGAAAAAAAAAACTAATTAAGGCTTTCCCTCAGCAAAGAAACATAAAAATTATCAACTATATTAGTTGCACAGAAGAAAAAGGATCAGAAAAGGAGAGTCTGCTTTGCAAACATCTCATCAAAATGCAGCTTTTCACTTTGCAGTATACCTATAACGCTGGCATATCTTGCAAGGGTAGCTACTTACATCAAACAACTTTTCTATATACATTTCTTCATTGACCTTTTCTCGAAGAATATCCTGGTTTTGCCGAACAAACATAATATAGGTGTCTGCCAGATCCATTCCTGGTTTCTGTTGTTGGGGAAAAGCATGGGGAATAAAACAGAATCAATCGTGAAATCATTTAATCACACCCTAGAAAATAATTTTGAAAATTACAGTTGTAAAATATGTTCAAGACCAAATCAACAATAAGTACCTTCAATAAATTCCATATCTAAAGCAAATAAAACAGTTTATTACTGACATTCACAATTTGAGGTCATACTTATTCATCATTATTAAGATGATTAGAAATACAGGGTTGTAAGTCAGTAGACATCATTTTTTAAATGGCTATCTTGAAAGGTCAATATGCCAAGCAGAATGAATGAAAGAAATTTTTTTCAAAAGTTTCCCACTTGCAATTATCATGTCCTAATCACAAATACAATTTATTTTTCATCATCTGTGGTTGGTTTATAAATAACATTACTAATGTTAGCTTTCCTTGGGTTGCCTCCCTAGACTACTAGGGGTGCTCAAGGAATACAAACTAAATTTGTGGATTTTCTATTTCTTCTACTCAATATTATCAATACTATCTCAAAGATTTATTTTGTTTTAGAAATGCAATATGACTATTAATGAACGAGTCTCCTATGTAGGGCCAAAGATGTGGATCAGATAACTTTCCAAAGGTACCTAACATTTGGTGCCTTCTAATGTTAGAAGGGGTAGGGTACCTCCTCCTTGCTATAGACCAAGTCAGTACTAGCAAGGGACAAAAATCTGCACAGCTGCTAAAGAATTTTCCTGCTCAACTTACCTTTCTCAGGTTTCATATAGCTGGACTAGTTAGTGAAAATACTTATTTGCATCATGTACACCTGGGGTTGATTCATAATCCGTATTGAGCCAGTTATTTGACTTGAGCATGACATTAATAAGAACAAAATGGTAAAATCAATGCTCAAATGAGCCAGTTAGCCTTGCATTATTTCATGTCCATAGAATGCTCTTATAGCCTTTGCCAATAGATTCATTTGCCAAAGTAAACACTGCAAGGAAATTAGGTGAAAGAGGATATGGATCATTTAACTGTTACTACTGCTGGAAAAACAACTCAAGGTATACCATACCAACACATACTATAGGCAATGATTACATCTTACTTATTCCACTTATATAAATTAGTTTGAGTTTTTATAACAAAGTTATTTTTTTGTGCAGTAAGAATCACTATAGTTTCTTACTGCTCTTATATTTTGCCTAAAAGGAGTTATATACCACATAAATTCAAGGGTCTTTTCAACATAATCCTGATATAACAACAATAGGTATAACTTGAAATAACTGTATAAAGTCTTCACTGGTTTCTCCTTTAAGAGCATCCATACACAACGTAGGTAACATACTGCAAACCTAATGGAAGCAACTTACCAAATCCATTTCTTCACTATTTTTCTGAGTAATTCTCAGAAACAATGTTTAAAAGTTTAAGCAACTAGAAGGATAATAAATAAATACCTAAGTTCCTTCTCTGTTGTTCTTGTTGGGTGGGGCGGGGGGGGGGATTATACATCAGTTTTTCCAGCGAAGAGGCAGGGTAATTTTTACAAAGATTACTACTACTAATACTCGAGGGCAACTAGCCTGTAAGGTAAGTATTTCTTTCTGTGCCTCTCGAATTCTGTCAAAACACTGAAAATGAGAACATCCAGAAAACATACTGCTGCAGAATGAAAATGACATGAGCACAATTTCCTATGCATAACAGCAAGTTAGCTCGGAGTGTGAGTTTCAGCCAGGTGCCTGGAAACAAGACACTGTGATAAACATAATCCCAAAGCAGTTAAACTGGGAGTTCAGCCCAGTTAAACTGGGAGTTCAGCCCATCTAAACTGGGAGTTGAAGAGGAGACAAATGAGAACCTTCTCCACCATTTCTATCCACCCCAACCCTATTTTTATTTCCGCTTTTCAAAAGAAAACTATGCTTAGAAATTTAATCCACTCAATCATTTGACTCATTAGACTCAGTGGAAACTAAGTTATGGCCAGGAAGACTGGAGTATAATGACTTTAAACACTCGCCATAGACACTTGGGTGATTTCTTTTTTGTTTCCTTAATCACTTGCAAGATGACATTGGATATCATGACTCTTGCCCAGGAAGACTTTATCTTCCACCATCTAAAACTAACAAATACTTTACAGTTTGAGCCTAAAAGAAAACTAAATGCTGTTCCTTACTGGCAGACCTAAGGGATATAATAGTGAAATCTGTAAGTTGAGACAGTTCCACTAACTTTCTAAGGAAAAAAGAATTTCTGGTTGAGGGTGTGAGGCAAAGCTCATTTAAAAGGTTATTTTAACAAATTCAGTGTTTCTTTTTCTTTTTGAAATTGCATTTTCTCCTCTTTTGGCAAATTAAGAGACACTTGCCTGGAAAACAAAACCTAGAATTCTTACATTACTCATTGGCATTATTTCTTCCTTTATCTTTGAGCTGTTTACCTATTCTTGAAACTGTGACATATGGGAATTTCACACCTAGTGAATATATTTTCTTGTAGCTTGTGGCATGAGACTATAATCATTAAAAAGAATACACACAAGTAAGAGTAACTGCAACAGCTGGTGACATTTACCAATTAGAATTATAGTTCTTTAAAACACTTTATCCTTCATTTGGTGTATGAAGGGTAATTATCTCTGATAAATTGCTGAAAAAAGATGTAATTTTCATTTTAAATGGTTTCTACACACAGTACAAATGTGTTTGGATAGAAGACATTATCACTGGTTCAGTGCTCCTTTGTGCTAAGACTCTGTTTTATAGCAGTGAAATTTACACACTTTGAAAGTCACTGCATCTAATTCCATTACTAAACATTAACTTATTAAAAAATGAAGTTTGGTTTAAAAAAATAGACTAAGGCTGCTAAATTTGTTTGTGTGGTTGGTGTGTAAATAAAAAGAATGCATGTGATTGCACTGCAGACACAGTAGCTACAAATTCTGATACATGGGGGGGCCTACAACTTTATCAATGAGTGGTCTATTAAACTTCAACACCTGGGAATTTGGCTAAGTTTTTATAAAGCCTATTATATTCTAGAGAGCTATATTTAGAAATCTTTTCTAAACTTGTAACTATAGTTTTTTAATGCATATGAGAAAATAACAATTAAAAACCACATAGCTAGCACTCTATGTATTAAATACCATTTAGAGAGAGTAAATGATTTTTTCATATTCCCATTTAAACCTCTGAGATCCTCAGTTCACTAAGCACTAACTTCTCCATCTAGTTTATTAAGGTAGTAATCTCTAAATCAAAATAGAGGTTCCTAAATTACTTTTAATCTGATTCAGAAAAGAACAGAATTTGGCTATCAAAGTTACAGTAAAGGAATACAAAAATCTAAAAAATTCCCCCATGAGCATAAAGAAATCCATAACTATGGAAGGAAATGAAGTATTTTAAGGTGAGTTCTTCTGACATTGGCTGTATAAGTAATCAAATACATCTGTGAATGAATGAGTTTAAGTAAGGGTGCAGACTCCAGGAATTTTTTTTTCAAGTGTTAATCACTAGTTAACCTAGCAAGATGAACACGCTGTTTAAAAAAAGAGAGAGAGAAAAAATTCCTTGTTAATTATATGCTGCAAACGCTCTTACTTCCTGCTGCCACATCTAATCCCACAGGTGCAAGTCTTTGCTTTCCCCATTCATGGGTAGGTGGGTGCAAGGCTGCAGTCATTTTTCACAGCAATGGATTCAGATACATAAGAAGCCGCTTAACCTTCCACTGGAGGTTAACAATACACCACACAAACACTGTCATGGTGGTGTCTATTTAACAAGGAGACAAATTTTTAAATATACTATTCTAGTCTCAGAGATTAACCAGAAGCTACAGTTTAATTGACTTAACTTAAAAGTGCACTTCTCATAACCTAGGAAAGCCTGTCTTGAAGAAACAATCAAAAGTGGGACTGTGATATCCTGATTTATGATAATCTCCATGTTTTGTAAATGAAATACCTGCATCTGGTCATTCTTCACCATTTGGAAAAAATGGATCTTGTAAGATATAATAGTGTGTCTTCTAAATTTTAAATTGTACTAGAAGCAATTTATATATCAGCTCTGGCATCTGAAATTCAGTAATAGTTTGTAACTGATCATCAGGGAACACAGGACATAGTTCTACAAACATATAACTTATGCCAGGTATTGTTAAAAACAATATTTTTTTCACTGTTTAATATATCCTTTATCACTTTGGCATTTATACATCAATTTCTATGTTTTTGTCTTTGAGTAAAAACGTTCTTAAACTTTTCAAAAGCATTCGAAGTAGTCTAAATGTCCTCAAATACTTTTAAAAAATAGGTTTTGAGTACACTCATAATGGTTATGTTGTAAAAAACCAAGTATATTTTACTAAGTTTTCTACAAAGTGGAATTATTATATTGTATTCACAAAGAAAACCAAAAGGAAATGCAGAGCCAAAGCCTTCAAACTCGATTTATACCAACTTAAATATAATATAAGCCTATAGATAGAGGAATAGTTTATAAAAAAGGGCAGAGTGGAAGAAATTTAAACAATGGAAAAGTCACAAGCATATGAATTTTTCAAGGTTTTCTACTAAGATTATCTAACTTTTTAAAACCAAGAACGAAAAAAAAAAACCTCTCATTATTACTTAGAAAAATTCCAAAATATTATTTCAAGAATGCAGTGGCCACAGATTTATAACATAAATTTGTTAAATTTAGCAGTATTTAAAATTCCATTAATTAACATTATTATGTATTTATATATTCACCAAATTGGGAAGTAGAAAATTCTATTAAAATAATGACACCTACATCTGTTTGAAAACATCTATTATAATTGGAGCATGTAACACAGGTGTTTTAAGTGTGAACATTTCACTTAGTCCCGCATTTCTAAAAGACTCTTTGATTACTCCGGAGTTCTTGCTCCGATAAGGGTCTTCTGTCTGCTCCCTAAATATAGTTGGTAAAAGGCAGAATCCTACCACAGTGCTATGAGAGCATGCGATATCAGAATC